ACGCCGATTGACCTCGAAGTTGTTGTCGGGGGTCGAGGCCTTGCCGTGTTCGATCTCGCCGTTCCACCACGGGAACGTTGTCTTGCCGGGCTCGAGCCAAGCGAAGTCTCCCTCCGCAGGATCGTTGAGCTGCTCAATCAACTGACTCTCGATGAAGCGGCCGGGGTGATCGGCAAGCATCACGACCCGCCACGGCGAGGAGTGCGGCGCCGTAGCGACGACGCACTGACTAGGCTTGCCCGGCAATGGTGACAAGCGACTCGTAAAGATCGCGTCGCTCGCGCCCTTCCGCTCGAGGTACATGCCCGCGTAGTCGCGGAGTCGTGCCTCCGTGATCATGACCGAGTCGCCATCTTCGCGCACCGCAAGCAACGGCACGCCAAACAGTTGGTCCTCGGGCAAGTCCGACATCGGCAGCCGCCCGTAGAGTCCCTCGTGGGTCGAGGTGAAGTTCGGCAGCGGCAGGTACGTGACGCTCGGGTCACCCGTGAGCCGAAACTCGGTCTGCTCGGCTTCGACAACAACGTCGGTGAGCTCCGTCTGCTTCGGGAACTCGTAGCGGAAAGCGACGCCGTCGTTGTAGACGCGGAACGCCAAACGCCAACGGGCTTTGCCTTTCGTGAGAAACTCAAGAGTCGCTGTCGATCCATGGTCTCGGATCGTCCTCGCCTTGCCCCAGGGCATTGTGGAGGTTGTGTCGAACTTGCCACGTACGACTTCGACGAGCTCTGCCCCATCGGCAAGCGAGCCAACCTCTCGGAGCTGAACGTCCAACGCGGAGGGAGCCACGACTTCGGCGCCGTTGCGCTCGACTGTGTAGCTGACATAGGGCGCCACGTCAGTCGTCGTAACGGTCACCGCCACCTTGCCGTCAGGCGAGTCGATGCGGGTTGTTTGCTCCTCTGCCCGGGTCAAGGCAGCGAAGGCAAGCAGCAGCAGAGTGGCGGCAGAGCGTGTGATCACAGTGTCAGTCGTGCGAGAGGATTGGGGATAGTGATTGAGACGACGCGGGATTGCTCTAGGCGATCCTGACTCGCACGGCGAGCTTCTCGCCTGATGAGACGATCGCCTCATCGACGAATCGCAGTTCGATTTGACCGTCTCGAGTGTCCGTCACGGCGAGTTCCATCGTGTTGCCTCCCACGGCGACTTCGGCCTTAGCCGGCAACGTTCCTTCTGAAATCGCAAGACGCAGCGTTGTTAGGCGGACTTCACCCGAAGTAACTTGCACCTCGGCGCGGAGCTCTCCTTCGGATCGCTTCTGCTCGTAGGTCCCCCAGCCCTCCGCGGTCGTGAACACGCTGCGGAAGTTGTCCGCTTCGATGCGGGGTGCGAAGCCGAGCGTTCCCTTGGAGTTGTGGTGCTCGAAGCCACTGAGGCTCGTGATGAGTCCCCAGCTCGCCAGCGACCGCGCGTAGTGATCGCCGCATTCGATTTCGTTGAAGGGGTTGCGCTTCGACGGGTGGTACCGGTCGTGCGCTGCCCGGCACAACGCCAACGCCTCGGTCACCATGCCCTCCCACGCCATATGATTAGCGACTTGATACTCGATGCCGGTCCAGACCTCGTCGCAGTAACGCGTCGCCGGCGGGCCGGGTCGCTTGCTCTTCGGCCAAGTGCAGGTGAAGAGGCCCGCCTCGCCGGGGAAGGCGAACCACCGTTCAGGCGCGTGACGCTTGTTCTGCGAGTCGATGTCGGGCGTCCAGCAGTACTTCCAGATCGATTCCAGCGCCTTGCGGACCGTCTCCTTCGAGTAAACGTAGCCGAGCCCTAACTGGTGGGCCCACCCTTGGCCGAAGAGCTGGTCGGCGAGGCAGCCGTCGGCGTATTGCCAGTGCGGATGCTTTTGCACGTCGACGTCCTGCACAAAGTACTCGCCGTTGAACAATCGCTCTTCGGTAATTTTGCTGCCCGACGCGAATATCTTGGCGCATTGCGCTGCGAAATCTTTGTCTCCAACCTCACGGGCC